CGGCGGCAGGGGCGCGGCCGGCGGCTTCGGCGGCGCGGCCGCGGGCTCGGGCTTCGGCGGAGCGGCCGCCGGCTTCGGCGGCAGCGGGGCGGCCGGCGGCCTTGGCGGAGCCATCGCGGGCCGCGGCGGGGCGGCTGCGAGCGCTGGTTTCGGCGGCAGCGGGGCGGCCGGCGGCCTCGGCGGAGCCATCGCGGGCCGCGGCGGGGCGGCCGCGGCCATTACGGCCCGCGGCGGCAGCGCGGCCGCGGGCGGCCTCGGCGGCGGGATTCCTCCGGGCGGCCTCGGCGGCGGGATTCCTCCGGGCGGCCTCGGGGGCGGGATTCCTCCGGGCGGCCTCGGGGGAGGGATTCCTCCGGGCGGCCTTGGCGGCGGCACGGCCCCGGGCGGCCTCGGGGGCGGGATGCTGGCGGGAGGCCTCGGGGGCGGGATGCTGGCGGGAGGCCTCGGGGACGGATCCTCGTCCTCGGACCAGCCGTCGCTCTCTTCGCTGTTTTCGCTGTCGGTGAAGTGATGGGGCATCTGGGGAGGCGGCGCGCGAGCCTTGGCCTCGGCTATGGCGGCCGCCTCTCGGAGACTCTTCTCGGCCTCGGCTTCGGCCTCGGCCTTGGCCTTCGCGGCGGCCTCGGCGTCGGCCTTGGCCTTCGCGGCCTTGGCCTTCGCGGCGGCCTCGGCCTCGGCCTTGGCCTTCTCGGCCTTGGCCTTCGCGGCCGCTTCAGCCTCCGCTTTCGCCTTGGCGGCCGCGTCGGGAGGAGACGTGCCCGACTTCCGGAGGCTCGATCGCTGCGCGTTGATCGCGGCGTGGAGGCCCTGCTCCGGCTGCGACGCCGTCGACGACGCGCGGCCGCGCGGGTCGTCGTGCTTGAGCTTGTTGCGCTGGGACATGATCTGGGACATGAGGTCTCCGCCCGCGGCCTTGGGCGCCGGCGTCTTCCTCAGCTCCGCCTTGGGCGTCTTCTTGAGGCTCCCGCTCCGCGCCTTGATCTGCGACATGAGGTCGTTCCCCGGCGCCGCGGCCGGCGGCGGCGGCGGCGCCGCCGACGCCTTCTTGAGGCTCCCGCTCCGCGCCTTGATCTGCGACATGAGGTCCGTCCCCGGCGCCGCGGGCGCCGCGGGCGCGGGCGCGGGCGCGGGCGCCTTCTTCTTGAGCTTGCGCCCGGCCTTGATCTGCGCCATCAGATCGCCGCCGCCGGCCGGCGGCGCCGCGGGCCGCGGCGCGAGAGGCGGCGCGGGCGCCGACGCCGCGGCGGCGCCGCCGCCGCCGTCCAGGAGGCTCGGGTCGAGGCCGTCGACGCGCATCTTCTGCCTACCAAGCATGTCGGTAACAATTTCTCTTCGTTTTCCCGGTCAAAATCTCTCGAAAATCGTCACCGTCACAGGACGCTGTGGCTTCTACTCGACGGCGCCGCGCGGCAGGTGCATCTTCAGCATGCGTTCGTATTTTGCGAGGCGCGGGTCGCCGGAGGGCGCCGGCGCTGCGGCAGGCGGCGCGGGAACCGCGGGCGCGGCAGCGGCGCCGCCGCCGAGGAGGCTCGGGTCTAATCCGTCGACCCTCATCTTCTGCTCCACTGCCCCTCGCGGTAGGTGCATCTTCAGCATGCGCTCGTATTTCGCGAGGCGCGGGTCGCCGGAGGGCGCCGCGGGAGGCGCCGCAGGAGCCGCGGGCGCGGCGGCGCCGGCGCCATCGAGGAGGCTCGGGTCTAATCCGTCGACCCTCATCTTCTGCTCCACTGCCCCTCGCGGTAGGTGCATCTTCAGCATGCGCTCGTATTTCGCGAGGCGCGGGTCGCCGGAGGGCGCCGCGGGAGGCGCCGCAGGAGCCGCGGGCGCGGCGGCGCCGGCGCCATCGAGAAGGCTCGGGTCCATTCCATCTACCCTCATCTTCTGCTCCACTGCCCCTCGCGGCAGGTGCATCTTCAACATCCGCAAGTATTTCGCGAGCCGCGGGTCGTCCGCCATCGCGCTGAACGGCGGCGGCTCGACGCGTTGGGCGACGTCGTCTTCTGCGGCCGCGTCGGCAGCTCGCGGGCCCTCGACTACGCAGTCGTCGACCAAGCCTTCGTCAACTTAGTGCTGAACGGCGGCGGCGCGCGGCAGCCAGCCGAGCTCGATCGGGCAGCTCTGTCTCACGCGCGCGCGCGCACGGCCATAGGTTACTCTCTAACAGGAGCGCAACAAATCTTCTATTCTCCTTCAAGGGCAGCCTCACGAGCTCGACCGCCTTCCTCGAGGCGCCGGCATCACCCAAGTTGTTGGCAGCCCCTGAATATGGGCGGCCCCGACGAGCCGCTCATGGTCTTCTGATCTCCTTCACGGGCAGCCTCACGAGCCCGAGCGCCTTCGGTCACCAAGTTGGGCAGCCCCTGAATATGGGCGGCCCGTCCGACGAGCCGCTCATGGAGGACAAGCAGCTGCTCTACAGCGAGGGGGCGAGGCCCTACGAGCCGTCGCGGAAGGTGCTCGGCCTCGTCTTCACCATCTCATTGACGACCTTGGCAGCCCTGAGCGCTCTACAGGCGCTAGTGTCCCACATCACGGACCACTACAGCGCGACGACCTACGAGGTCGTCGTCGGCCTGCTCATGGTCTCGGCCTTCCCCGCGGCCCTGCTCCAGTTCAAGTTCGACGCGTCCTACGACGCGCGGTACGGCCTCCGCGACGCGGCCGCGTTCCGCCTCGTCGTCTCGTGCCTCGTCCAGTCCGCCTGCTGCGTCGCGCTCGTCTGGCAGGAGGCGTCCATCCTGTACGCCTCGTCCTTCCTCATCGGCCTCGCGACTTGGTGCGCCAACGGCACGCTGAACTCTCTCTGCGTCGCCGTGGCCCCGCGCGCGTCCATCTACCAGGGCCTCGGGTTCCAGGTCGCGAACCTCGCGTCCTACGCCGTCATCTACGTGACGGAGGAGGACGGCTGGGCCCTGCTCTGGTGGGTCTTCGCCGCGCCGCCGCTCGTCGGGCTCGCGGCGTCCGCGGCGTTCCTCGGCGACGGCGCGGTGTCGCGCGCGCTCGAGGACTACGCGGAGCCGCGGCGATCGACGACGGTCCTCGAGGACGTCGAGCGCATGCCGCCGACGATCAAGCGCATGTTCGCCGTCGAGGCGCTGTCGCTGACCGTGTCCGTCATCGCCGTCGGCGCGACGTCGTTCTACGACGACGAGGGCGACTACCTCGGCACGTCCCTGGCCACGGTGCTCTACATCTCCTTCACCCTGGGCAACGTCGGCTCGCGCCTCGTCGCGCTCGTCGTGCCCGTGCCCGAGGACAGCGTCCTCATACTCGGCTCGGCGGCGCGCGCGGCGCTCACGCCGCTCCTCTTCCTCGGGAGCGACCTCTCGACGAGCTACGACCTCTACGTGACGCTCTTCTTCTTCTTCTTCGCGCTCGTCGGCGGGGTCCTGATCCAGATCCCGTTCCTCGTGCCCAAGGCGACGTGCGATCCGGCGGACGTCGTCCTCGCGAGCCGCTTCATCACGCTCGCGCAGGGCGCGGGGCTCACGATCGGCGGCGTCGTCGACGTCGCCGTCGCCCTCGGCTTGCTCTATGGCTAATATGAAATCGAACGTGACTTCAACAAGCGCGCATGCTCACTTCTTAGCCGCGTAGCCGTCCCAGCTCTCCTCGGGCACGAAGCGCAGGGCCGCCGCGTTCATGCAGTAGCGCTTCCCCGTCGGCCGCGGGCCGTCGTTGAACACGTGGCCCAGATGCGCGCCGCTCCGCGCGTCGAGCACCTCGATGCGCTGGTAGGCCGGCGGGTAGCCCACGTCGCCGGGGTCGACGCGCTCGATGACGTGCTGCGCGTCGACGGGCTGGAAGAAGGACGGCCAGCCCGTGCCGGACTCGTACTTGGCCGCCGACGCGAAGAGCGGGAGCCCGGAGACGGCGCCGACGTAGTAGCCCTTGGCCTTGCTCTGGAAGTCGGGCGCGTAGCCGTCCTTGGCCAGCGGCAGCGCGGCGCCTACGACGTGCGACAGGGTCGGATTTCTTCACGTTTTCAGACGATATTCGCGCAAAAAATCACTCCCGTCGCTCGACGCTGGGCCGCGCCCGTGAAGGGCCGCTCCGTGCTCGAGTAGAGCGCGACCTTCTTGGCCATGTCGGGGAGCTTGTCGACGGCCTTCTTGATCTCGGCGTCGGACATGGCCTGGAGCGACCAGCCGGACTTGGACACCGCGGCCGTCGGCGCCGCGCGGCGCCACGAGTCGGGCGACGCCGGGTCCGCCAAAGCGCTGGCGAGGTCGCCCGTGCGCGACGCGCGGGCCGGCGGCGCGGAGAGCAGGGCCGGCGGTGCGAGGGCAGCGCCGGCGAGCGCGGCGCGGCGCGAGACGGGCACGCGCAAGGCGGTGCAGTGGAGCAGGAGCGCCTGGGCGACGAGGAGGACGCGCGTCGCCATCTGTCGTTTGTTTCGTTGCGCGTCGATGGGTGGATCGCGACGCGCTAGGGATGGCGCGGGAACTGCTGCGCGGCGACGGCCACGACAGCCTGACGAGAGCGTCGCAGATCGTGCTCCGAGACGGCGCGCTCGAGTTGTTGAAGTTCAAGCCGATGATGTTGAGTCCCATCACTCAGCGCCGGAGAGCCGAGCTCGACTGTCACCACGATGAACAAGGCCAAATCAAGATGGAAGAAGGCCGGCATGCTCGTGCGCGCCGGCCTCACCGTGAAGAATATCGCGACCACGGGATTCGAAGTACTCGACGGCAAGGGGCTGCCCGTGGAGATCGTCGACGGCGCCTCGGGGACGACGACGCTCGAGGTCATGCCCCTGGGCTGCAGCCTGAATCTCGTGCGTCGCACCGCGCGCTCCAGTTTTGGCTACACGCGCAAGGTCACGGTGGACATGGTGCCGCCGCGCGCGCCGGGGCAGGAGCGGCGCGACACGGGTTCCCAGCGCCACCTCGGCTCCGTCGAGGAGCGCGTGCCCGTGAAGCGCCTCGCGGACTGGGAGGACCTCTGGCGCGAGTGGAGCGACAAGTGCGGCGAGCGGCGCGCGGCGGAGGTCGAGTGGCGCGTGCTCAAGAGCTCGGGCGTCGCGCGGAACGCGGAGCGCGGCGACGGCGAGCGGCTCGAGGCGCTCGAAGCCCTCGAGGCGCTCGTCTGCCTGCGGGCGAACCTGCACGGCGTCGACGTCGGCATGCTGCGCGCGTTGAACGCCGTGCTCGACGCGAGCCGGGGCGACCTCGCGCCGACGGCGCTCGCGGTCGCCGCGGCGCGCGTCGTCTGGCGGCTCGCGGTTCACCCGGACGGCCGCGTCACGGCGCTCATCTGGGACCAGAACATCGTGCGCACGCTCGCCCTCGCGGCGAACGGCGCCGCTGTGCCGCCGCGGGACGGCGACCCGGGCGACGCCGCGGATGGAGCCGCGAAGATCGACGCGGCGGCCGAGGGCGACTGGTTCGCGCACGCGGCGGCCTGCGTGGAAATCAAATCTTCAACCCGACTTCAATGTGAGCGTATTCGAACGGTTTGGACCAGACTCTTTCGCCATGCTTCGAGAACTTGACGAGAGCAATCGATTCGTCCAAAGATCAGCCCAATCGACTTTCAAAGTTTGGTCGGGACGTCCCAAACCGGTGGTTGATTTCCGCACAGGCGGCGGCGCTCGCGGCGCTCCTCGAGTCGCCCCACGCGCGCGCCGTCTACGAGCAGTTGGCCTTCGACCCCGTGCCCGCGCTCCTGCGCCTCGTCGACGCGTCCGCGGAGCCGCCGGCGCCGTCGCCGGACGCGTCGCCCGCGGCGCGCGCGCGGTCGCTCGAGGCCGGCGCGGCCGCGCGGGCCGAGCGCCGCGCGGGGACGTCGCGGCGGCGCCGGACGGCGGCCGTCGCCGCGGCGGCGGCGGCGACGTGGCTGCGGAGCGTGCCGCGCGCGCGCGTGACGCTCGCGGCGGCCGCGGGGCTGCGGAGCCGCGTGCTCCACCTCCTCGCGGCGCCGGCGCCGGACGTGGCCCTGGGCGCGGCCCAGGTCGTGTCCTGCGTCGTCCGCGACCGCGCCGCGCGCGCGAGCCTCGAGCCCGAGGACGCGGCGGCGCTCGTGCCCGCGCTCGCCGAGCTCTGCGGCCGCGCGGCGGACGCGCTCGAGCGGCGCGCGGACGCGCTCGCCGCGCGGGGCGACGACGACGGCCCCGCGTCGCCCGGCGCGG